AGCTTCAGATTCTCAGATTTTGAAGAGAAATAAAATATTACCAAGCATGAAATATGGGAAAACAAATAAAGCAACACACATGGATCCCATAAGACAGCATTTGACAGATAATAAGTGCTCAATAGCAGCTATAATAGTAGAAGACAAATCTATTCTTTCCAAGTCAGGACCATCTGTTACTTTAATCTAAGTAAGTAATAACCATGATCAACATTGCATATTCTATTTAAATTCAAATAGAGTCGTACTAATTCTTGAGCAGCATTTTATTTATTCATTCTAAAACATTCATGCTTACCAGGCTTCCTCTTTCAGTCTCTGTCCTGTTGTTTTAGTTAATAAGCAGGGCTTTCTGAAGATCCATCAAGAATATGATGCAGGAGCATGACAAAGGCAACCACTGCAGGACATTTACAGTTACTGGTAGAACACAAGCCATATGCTTTCCAAATCACGCATTAGCAAATGCCATAGAAAAGGATGCTAAAGGTAAGAAGTTGTGCCTCAGGTTACAGAGGAGAGTCATCTGATTGGACCTGTGTGTATTTGATGGCATAGTTAACATTAATTTCCTTCCTCAGAATTGTTCTAATAATCATAAATTACTGAAGTGCAGAGTTATTATAATGCTTGTTTTTATGACTTGCCTTTCTCCTAAATGAATTAAATTATTAAAATCGAAGAAAAAATGAGATTCAGATGTCCATCATTAGGAAAAAATTCAAAAGAGAAAGGATAATTTCTAGGTAGATTTTTAAAGTATCTAGAAATAGTGAAAGTATAAATGTTGAGATATTTAAGACAATCAGCAGAGGAATAGCAAAAGGAAAGACAAAGATCTGAAGGTTTAACAGAACCCACTTCCAGGTCATCCAGGAGAAGAATATGCTTAGCTAGATAGGTAAGAAATGACATTTTGTTTTTGAAGCAAATAATTTCAAATTCAAAGTACTCAGGATTTAAAAGCAGAAGGAGTAGGGAAATTAAAGGGTGTTTTGATATCTAATTTTATTTATATATCTATACTTATTTAGAAAAATGTGTAGATTTGACCAAAATGCACATATATGTACTTATAAATATGCCTAAAATAAATTTATTGAAATACAATCATAATACACTACTTACAATGACAACCTACCACTACTATTTGTTTAGCTTTGAATATTATATATTTTTCAAAATTACAAAGGATCAGTTTCAGAATTATTAGTGCTAAAATTAGTTTTGTTGCTAAAATTGATTGGAAAGAAATATTGGGGAATGGTGATATGTGGGCCCCAGTAGGTCCCAGAATGATCACCACAGGTGGCCCGGAGCAGTGTTCATGCTGTGTGAAGTGCTCAGCAACCTTGGGCAGCTCTCACACATTCAAGGTCACTGTGATGGAGAAAAGAAAGACCAGGGCATGTTTCTGGAGAAACACAGACAGAATAAGCTGCTGCCTCTACAGCACGCACAATGAAAGTTGAGGTAGATTGTGATGTAATTGCAATTGTATACAGTGGAAAGGCTTGGCTTGGGGAAAGTCCATAACAAATAAGATGATAGAGCATATGCATTGTAGATTTTAAATTTAATATTCAAATTTTAATATTTTCATAAAGTAATATAAACATCGAAATTAAAAGCTCTCCTTTCTATGATTCCCTCTATGTATTAAAGTTGTATTTATAATATCCCTACAAATGAATACAAGTAAGACCGTTTTAGCTTTCCTCATCACCATTGTCCTCATAGTTTTATTATATTAGAAATGTTATTTACAGAATCATGCGCTGTTAATTTCCAGAATGTTCATTTGTATAATTGTCTTCCCACTATTAATCATGTTAGTTATTTCTAAAATTTCACTATTATTGTTACATCTGAACCATTTTCTTTTCTTAATCTACTCCACCTCAGCTCACTTTTGGAATAAATGTGTAAGGTTTAGTAACCAGTATGAAAATTGCATCCAGGTTTGTGACTCTAAAAATATGTACTGAAATGTTTTCTAAAATGGAGTGTGAAACATACATTTTCCTAGGAATTTTGGGACCGGGCATACTTCAAATGTATCATGATTTTAAATACCCCATACTTTATTCCTACAGCCGATTTAATTTTACAGTTTTTTTACTGTGTGTAGAGACTAACATAATGCTGATCCCAATATTCCACATCCTTTTATTTATTCCTTACATAGCATGTTCATAGAGACCTTATTTGTCCTCATGGGTCAGGCACCTCAAGTCTGTATTACCATGTCTATTTTAAAAGAAAGCAGACTAAAAATGCCAGTTATTAAAATGACATAGTGAGTTTATTTTATAGCAACTATGACTATTTGCAATACTTAATTTTTATTTTCAGAAATTAAATGATTACCAAATTTGCCAAGATAGTGTGAATAGTCCCTATATATTTGTTTACTCTTAATATTAGCATATGATATTAGCATGGCCGCAGTGGTTATATTTATGAAATCAGTAGTGATACACAGTACTATAAGCTAAATTTTGTTCATATGTTTCAGGTTTTTTCCTGTAGCTTTTTCTGTGCCATCTGAATTGCCATCTAGTAAAATGCATAGCATTCATAAAAACACAATTTTAAATGACTAAAATCTTAAAGTTGACATCAGGAAGCACACAGTCAACATGGTCTCCATTTAACATTAATTTTAGAAAGTCTATATCTGACAAGTGAGTCTTGGTTGGCATGCAACTAATAAGAATTTTAGTGCTAAAATTATATCACTCTTAAAATTTGCCAAGTAAATGAGGATATTAAGAATGATTTAACTATTACATTGATCAATTGTCCTGGTCTTTGTACCCAAAGTTCAAATCAATCAATCCATCTATCAGTCTAATTTTTTTTCTTATGAGAAATAATGCTACTTTAAATAGTGGCATACACATTTAAATGGCATGAAGATAAAAATATGTTTAAATATTTCTATGAATATTTAGAAATACTTTGCATTTAAAATAATAGTCATACTGTTACAAAATAAAATGTTTTTAATAAGTAAGGCAAAAGTAGAGGCATTTGTTTGTCTTGGCCATGATAAAGCAGGAGTCAGAATTAAAAACAGTGCCATTTCTGCCTTGTGTCAATAACTCTGATTATCATTACAAAGTCTTCTGGATTTATGATGGCATAGGTGTTTTATGTCTATATTCTTTGTCTGATGCTTAAAGAAACCTATAGATAGATGATTGTATTATACTCAGTGACAGAAAGGAAATGCAGGCTTCGAGAATTTTAGTAACCTGTGCAATGGCAGCACAAATAGTAGTGAATAGCTTTGAAACCTGGACTGCATGAGTTTAGAGTCTGTGATCTGACATATTTTATTTCTTTAACTTCTTTGCTGTGGTCTTGAACCAACCTGATTATTTCTGGTTTGCATAATGAAGTCTGATTCAGTGATCTTCTGGGTTTGCTTCATATACTTATTTTTTGGTTAGACCTTTTCATGGATATTGAGTCCAGAATCATTTAGGGATGTCTAAAAAATTGAGAAAATAATGAAAAGAGATGCTTTAAAGTAAAAATACTGAGATATGAATAAACATAATAATTTATTTTTAAATACTGTTGACATTTAAAATATTTGTATAAACTGAAAATGCCACTTATAAGATCAGGTTATTTTTAGTTCTGACAAAAGCCCTTTATTCTTTTATTTGATAAATATGAATGTAAGTTAAGACATTGTACTATACTTACGTGTATATAAACACACAGCTAACAAAATATCATTAGGCACTGGTAAAATGTAGAGCTAAAGACACTTCCTTCAATTTTCAACTGTTTTTGTAAGACTTAAATCAAATTTGAAGTAATTATCTAGGCGAAACGTGTTCACCTTCTGAGTCTACATCATTTGCTCTGTTTCTTTTAGCCAACAGCTCATTCAAATGTGTACAAAAAAATCAGAGGCTTTAATGTAACAGATGGATGGAGACTCAGAGTAGCTGCTCCTTGCTAAGTTCTCACTGGAAAAGAAAAATCCCCATTTCTGTGTTTCAAATAGCATGCCCAACATCTCTGATTTGCTTGAATTGCATGTCTTTAAGCATGAGGGTCCCACCAGTACCAAGTATGAGACGGAGCAGGCTGCTTCCTAGGAGTCAGATTTTGAAATAATTACTTCATTGTGTCATCATGACAGGATTTTGAAATAGACATCGACTTTTAGGCTTTTGAAATGACCACTGATTTGAAAACGCCCAATATTATGTGTCTTTACTCATGATGTGTTAAGTATGGAGCTAGACATTTTCCGTGGATCTTTGTTTTTTGTAAGAAATGAGATAAATTACTTAATTTCCAATTCAATTCAAAGCTTTAAAGAGATACTTTAAGAGTAGCTATGATTTTCATGAGTATTGTAACTGCACTGTAATTTTTCTCTTGTAGACAAGGCTATTTCTTGCTCTGGGTTGATGCTCAAATTATCACATCCCAGGCTATCAGCAACCAGGATTATCAAATTAACAAATCTTATATAGTCTTCAGGACAAATTTCAAGAATTCAAGCCAGTTTGCCACTGCTAACAAAGGACTCAGAGGACTGGACTGAAAACCTTTTTGCACCTCTCCTTACCACAGTGCACCTGCCTGTTATCTCTGTTGAAACTCAATTATGTAAAATGTTTATCATTTTGCTCCATCCTAGTTCCTCCTGACTTCCCTCTACTATGGTTAACGGATTTACAGTTTTGTGTAGTTGGTAACAGGAGACAATTTAGTATTAGTGTGAACCAAATTGTTCATGACAATAGTACCATAAAATTATCTGCAATAAAATTTTATTTGTTATGGTTTTAGATTCATGTTTTGTTCCCTGCAGTGTTTTCCCCTTTCCTCTGAAGTCATGCACAACCAAAGCACTTGACAGAGTTTGTGCTCCTGGGGCTCTCAGGAGAATGCAAGAGTTTAGAAAACGTCATTTGGTGTATTTTTGTTGGTATACACTGCAACTATGGGGGGGGGCAACATGGTAGTCATAGTGACCATGGTTTCAAGCTCTGCACACGGGGCTGCCCCATGTCCTTCTTTTTAGTATCCGTGTCTTCCCTGGAAGCATGCTTCTCCTCAGCTATCACCCCAAATGCAATTGTAGACACTCTCCATGAGAGGAACACCATCTCCTCTGAAGATGCCTGATGCACGTCTTTGGTGCTCACTTCCTTGCTGGAGCAGGGGTGACTCCTCACTGCCATGGCCTATGACCTATATGTGGCCATTGCAAGCCCTTGCACTACTCTTCCATCATGAACTGGAGGCTGTGTGGCATTCTGATGGGGGTACCCTGATGGGGGGGTGCTCCTGCATCCCATGATTCAAATTTCCTTTACTTTCCATCTGCCATTCTGTGGCCCCATTGTCATAGATCACATCATGTGCGACCTGTACCCACTACTGAAGCTCGCCTGCACTGACGCTGACATTCTGCATCTTTGGGTGTTTGCCAACAGTGGATCTAGCTGCATCTTAATCTTCTCTGTTGCTTGTATCCTATAGTATCATTTTGTTTTCACTGAGAAAACACAGTTCTAAAGGGTATAGGAAGGCTCTGTACACCTGTGGGTCTCACATTGCTGTCATGGTTTTATTTTCTGTCCCATGCATTTTTATGTATGCATGGCCTCCATCTGCTTACTTCTTTGATAAACTTGTGGCCACATTCTGTACCATATTAATTCCCTTGCTCAGTATTATGATTTATTCTTTTTAAAATAAGGACATGAAGGATGCCAGGAGAAAAATGTGGAAGTGTTTGCTTTTGCTTTTCAATCAAAAATGAAACATTAAACTTCTAAAAGAATTGAATTAAAATAAAGATATCAAAATGGTCTTAGATATTTATTAGGCAGTGTTGTTTATATGGTTGGAGGTAATGCAATACCATAGAAAAATTACTTTCAAGACTATCTAGAAATAACATTTTCAACCCAGATTCCTGGTCAATTCTGAGTTGGCAATTCAGTATTCTTGAATTTATGCTTACTTTGACTGTACTGATTAAAAAGTTCGAAACAAACTATCAAACTGCTACTCACCCTATGCCTTGATACACATTAATGAGGAAGTAAAAAGCTTGGTAGAGATTTAGAACCAGAAACTTAAAGCATCTCAAGAAAAAATATACATGTTTATTGCACTAATCTTAATGATTAATGAAAAAGCAAGCAAGACACAAAAGCACCTCCTATTTAATAAATGGTGTTTGGCCTGTGATTTTACAACTACCATATTCCCATCTCACTTCATTGTCTTTCATTAGCATCTTTCCAGCCCACTCTGCCCTGCGCACTCATGCCTAGACATGTCCATTGGGAAGATTTGTTCTCCAGCTCCAATAGTCTTAGGGCTTTCTTCGGGATATCATGTTAAAATAAAAGAGTTTTTTTATTTATTAAGAGATGTGGATTCTAGATTCTCTTCTATTACTAATAAATGTGACCTTGGATAAGTTGACTTCTCCAGGCCTCAGTTTCTTTTTCTACAGTAGAATTAATAAGAGCACTAAAACATTTCTTTTGCACACGTCAGAGCCCATGAATTTTTCTTTTCATGTGTTATGTACCTTGGATATTATAAATCCATGAAAAAGCACCTGGCATTTTTGTTTTAGTTGTTTTAGATTTTAGATGTTGTTGCTGTTGTAGTTATTGCATTATAGTTTTGAAGGAAAGCCAAAACTTGATTTCTCTCTGCCTATCGTCCCCAACCTGCTCTGAGCTACTGTCATCTCACACCTACCTGCACTGCTGTTGCAGCTTGTCACTGATTCTGTCTTTGCTTCTGTCTTTGGTCTCTGTGTTATTCTGATCCTCTTAGATGCTGATGCAAAAACAGATCAAATGTATGCTTAGCTTACGAGGGAGGAAAGAGGAAGGGGAACCAGGCCTCTGAGTCTGACAGCCGCTGCAGACAGGAGTCAGCTTCTGTGTACCTTGGAGAAGTTCACCAGAGCTGCAAGGGGGGCCTGAGTGAAAGCCTCATGTCAGAAGAGTTCCGTGCTTCCGGGGAAGGGCCTGCCTTGGTTTCCATACTGGACTCACTGACTTGAGAACCAGCGAGTGGAAAACATGGCCTCAAACTCCACATCCATGACCTAACTCAACTGCTGCAGAGAAAATCCTCTTTGAAAAACTTTATTAGTGACTACCTATTTGTTAATCTAGTTAACATAACCTAATAAGACATTCATAGGAGGGCTTTTATTTATATTTTATTTTTGGCTTTATGGGGTAAGTTCCTGTTTCCAGGATGTTTTTATCTATAATTGATAGGCAACTAGTATCTATCTACACATCATATCCCATATCACAGTACAGAGATGTTAGAAGTACAAGGATGTTCCACTTATTTCTAGTCTTTTATTACACTCATTCTAGCATTTGCCTATGAATAATTATTTATTTATTTTTAAACTTTAATGTGTTATATTTATAGCAGAACTATATTAGGGAAAAATATTAATGTTAATATTCATTTTCTTCACATACTTTCTCATTTACAATACAATCAAGAAACAATGTGATATATATATACTGTATTCAACAAGACACATTGCAAAATGTGCAAGACAGCAATATACATAAAATCACTAAATAGAAACTTCATAAATATGTAGCCACACAATCACATCAATAAACAAATCATATCCTTCACAAACCTGAAAAAAGATTCTCTCAAAAAATAATGGAAAAGATAGACGCAAAAGAGACTTGTATCAGTCTTATTCTACAAAGTACCACAACAGGCAAAACTAATTGATTTTAAAGATGGTGACTGTGATTAACTTTGGGATATATGAATTATTTAGAGAAGTTGGGGGGGAGGACTTCTGCATACCAATAATGGCTGTTCTTACTCAGGGTGCTGTTTATGTGATAGCATTCACCTTGCAAAAAGTCATATGCATTTTGTTATGTTGTCATATATTTCAATGAGAAACAATAAAAATTGAAGTTAGTGTATATGCACTTAAAGCACTAAAGTGCAGAATCTATTTTTGTAGAATAATATCATATAATACTTTATTTTTAAAATAAATTTGGTAATTTTTAATTTCGTAACATGTGTGTAATCTTAACAATTAAGGAAATACATGATTATATGGATTAGAGTAGTCATGAATTTGCTGATGCAGTGTCAATATAGAAACAGAATGTACCAGAAAGAAAGTGTTTAGTTTTGCCCATTTATATTTCCAAGCTATGACAAGAAGGTGAGAACGGTTTTATTAGTACTTATATCTCATGGAGCCAGTAATAACTCAGAAGCATTTTTAAACTGCATTTGATAGCACCAAACTTTTTCCATTTCTTTTTTTTTTAATTTTATTTAAGGAAAAAAGAAAAAAAAAGCAGGGAAAGGGTACAAGTTATACAGATTTACAGAAAAAAAATGAACAGTAGGAAATCACTAGTTAATGGATTACATATTGTCATCTTAGAAATAATTGTTCAAGTCACAAAATTAAAGCTTGTAAGGTGGACATTCCATCAATGATACTGCAAACAGTTCTGTTCATTGATCCAATAAAACTCTGTGATATCATTTTCTATCTTATACACTTAAATATACATGCAGTTATATAGTTTGGAGCACTTTCTTTTCCTCTCTTTTGTACCATGACTATTACACATTTTGGGTTTCATTGCTCCCACGGCTCTTATTACTTTTTTGGAAGAGAGTAAAACCAAATGTGACATAACAGAACAGAATCAGTCAAGTCAAAAGGGTGGACATAATAGATAATGTAAAAACATAATACAAGGTGATCAACAATGGTTACCATAATGCCTCCCGCTATCTCTAATAGAATTGCCTATATCGTTAGTTATAATACAATTGAACAAAACAGTAAAGAATAAAACCGACAAAACCAAAACATTGGAGACATTGTAGGTCTTCAAAAGTAGATAAAAGTCAACAAGAATGGGCGTCATAATGAATCTCATTATCTTCACAGCTGATGCCTAAACTTTCGAACCTGACACTATCCAGCAAAACAGAATAGGGGAACATCAGTTAAAAACCAGATGGTGAGAGTAATACAGGGCTTTAAATCAAGGTAATGAAAAGTCAAAGTGGGTTACTATAATATATCCTGCTATTTTTTTTCCTTTAATTAAAAGGATAAAGATAAAAAAGTAAATAATGGAGTGGAGATTGAGATAAAAGAGGGCATAACAACGAAACAGCGCAGATCAAAACATAACCATTTAAGCAGAATAATGTTTCACCACCAGATAATCCTAACCTAAACGTAGTTACCATATTGTCTCTTTCTTTGAAATCCTTGAGTACAACTTCGTATACTGTAGCATTAAGTATATCAAAACAATGTAAAACCATTCAAGAGAATGACAGCATTACAGAGTATTTAGAATCGACTAACAGAAAATGAACAATGGTTTCTGTATAATCTCCTTGTCTTTACAAGGTTTTTGCTTATACTATCGTACATAATAAAATCCAATAAGATATAGCCTATTTAGACCATTGGAGACAGGACAAAAGCTAGATGAGACTTCAAAACAAGATGATACTAAATCAGTATTACCTATTAAGATGTCATTTTCTCCAAAATAGCTGTTCCTATCATCCAATCTTCTCTGCCTCATTTCTGTTGAGCTCTTTTTCTGTCAGTAGCTGTCAGTTTGTCTTCTTCATTTTGTTCTCTGCTCCATTCGTTGTGGCCTCTCTGCCATTATTTCTGGATTCTTTGTATTTTTCTTTTTTTTAGAATATCCTGCAATACTCTCTGTAGAGTTGAATTGGTGGTTGCAAATTCCCCCAGTTCCTCTTTATCCTGGAAGCACCTTGTTTTTCCATCAATTTCCAGGGACAGTTGTGCAGGATATCTCAATCTTGGCTGGAGATTATTATCTTTCAAAGCTTGAATTATTTCCCCCCACGCTCTTCGTGAGTTGATGGTTTGTGCAGAGAAATCTGCTGTAATTCTGATGGGTGTTCCCTTGTAAGTGGTCTGTTTCTTGTCTCTTACAGCTTTTAATATTCTGTTCTTGTATTGAATTTCTGGAATTTTTATTATTATATGCCTGGGTGTTGCTCTGTTTGGGTTGTAGGTAGCTGGGGTCCTGTATGCCTCATACATCTGAGTATCTTTACCTTTTGCTAAATTAGGAAAATTCTCCTGGATTATTTCTGTGAGTAGCTTTTGTAGTTCACTTGTTTGTGTCCCTACTTCTTCTTTTATGTTCTTAATCCTTAAGTTATGGATCCTCTTATCATCTTCTTGTCTTTGTATTATTGCTGTTTGTTTCTTTGTTATTTTTAAGAAGTTTTTCATTTCATTCTCCCATATTACAAGTCTGCCCTCCAGTTCAGATAGTCTGTCCTTAGTTTCTTTCAAGCTGTTATGCCAGTCTTCTATAGACTTCTTAGTATCTTGGTAGTCCCTTTGAACCTGCTTCACGTATTCTATGCTTTCTCTGTTTTCTCCATCAAACAATTCTCCCCTTTTTTTCTGTTCTTCCATTCCACCACCTGTTTTTTCTTGGGTGGTACTTAGCATTTCTCTAACTATTCTGCATACTTCTAGCTTCAGGTCGTTGATAACTTCATTCCTGAATTGGTCTATGAGGCTCTCTATATGGTGCCTTATGTGTATTGGTGCGGTGTCTGCTATTGCCTGTTTCTCAGAATTGGGGGCCGAGGAGCCTTTCTTGTTGCTGCCTCTTCCCATGCTGCCTCTTCTTCTCTGTTCCTTATATATGCAAGCTTATATAAGAGGCCCAGCTTCTCTCCCAGTCAGCCACAGCTTGATCAAATTGCGCCAGTTAGGTGTTCCCACTCACCGCTGCGCACCAGGGAGTTACAGACCAGGCAGCCTATGCATCTCCCCTCCCGGCCACCGTCAGGCTCTGGGATCTGGGTTGGGCTAGCCTACCGAGTCCGCCAGTAGCGTCACGCAGGCCAGGCACTTTTCACCAATCCCGCCAGAGAGGGGGATGTGTGGCTGGAGTCGCCACCGCGCCCTGCTCCCGCAGGACTGCTGGGGCCCAGAAAATCCTCTGCTGGAGTCAAACTGTGGTAGAGTGTCAGTTTCTCTCACTCACCTCACCACAAGTCAGTGCACGCCTCCCTGCCGTTCGCAGATTGCCGTTCTCAGAGCTTCTGCACGTCTCTCCTTGCCGAGCCACTGTAGAGGCAGCCAGCCGACGCACGGCGGGAAACCCAAATCGCAGCTTACAATGGCGCGGGGTCCATCCTCTACACCGAGGCTTTTCTGTTCATGTTTTAGCACCAGGACTGCATTCCAAGTTGGTTTCTCTCAGCCCAGTTCGTTCCTGAGTCAGCAGAGCATATCTCCACCTGCTTATGTCTCCTTAGTCCGCACCATTCCTGGCTTCTGAGCCGAGTCTTTCAGAGAGCCTCCGGTGGTTGCTGTTATCTGTCCGCCATGTTCTCCCGGAAGCTTCCACCAAACTTTTCTCATGGGATTCTTCATCTTCATGTTTCTCCGTGTGTAGATCAGAGGGTTGAACACTGGGGCGATGATGGTGTAACAAAGAGCAAACACTTTATCTTCTGGGAATGATGTAGCAGGTCTAAAGTAAATGAATAATGTTGGTGCAAGAAACAGCATCACCACAGTTAGATGAGAACTGCAGGTGGAGAGGGCTTTGCTGCGTCTCTCTGCAGGGAACTCCCATAAGGTGAGCAGTATGAAAAAGTAAGACAACATCGAGACAGCAAGGTCACCAAAGCAATTAAGCCTGAGTTAGCAATGACTAAGAGACCTATCTTGTGTGTGTTAGAACAGCCCAATTTCAGCAAAGGGTACAAGGCACAAGGGTTGTGATCTATCTCACTGGGTCCACAGAACAATAAGGAGATGGTGAGAAGGAACTGACTGGCAGAGTCTAGGAATCCCCCTACGCCTTTGCTGGCCCATGATGACCGAGTAGTGCAGTGGCCTGCAGATGGCCATGTAGCGGTCATAGGCCATCCCCGTGAGAACGACGATCTCGATGCTGCCAAATAAACGGGTGGCAAAGAGCTCCACCATGCAGTTAGTGTAGGAAATAGTCTTTCTGTCTGACAGTAAGTCAGTCATCAGCTTGGGAGTGACTGTGGATGTATAACAAAGGTCAGCGAATGAGAGATAATTGAGGAAGAAGTACAGGGGTTGTTCAATTAGTTGCGTGCATGTGATGGAAATTATCAGCACATTTCCCAGCCAAATAGCAATGTAGCAAAATAAAATAACACAAAGCAAAAGACTTCAATGTTCTTATAGGAGAGTCCCACAAGAATAAAAGCAGTGATGTTATGCCCTTTTTCCATAGTTCAGTGGAGTAAAAAGCACACATTAGGTAAAATGACACAACCCATAGGCTTACTTACAAGTGTTTGCTGAATAGTGTAATGATCATATTATATTTGAGGAACTAACTAGATTTGATTTACTTCATTCAGGAATCCAGAGCAAAAAGATCCACCAAATACACCTAATAAACAAATAATTTTAAAGGTTCTGCACTGGGGAATATTGTACTAAAGTTTGCCGATAATACAGGATATGACATTCGACAGGACATGTACCTTTTACCATCATTATTAAGGTATATGTTTTTATAAATTTGTCTAATTCAACCATTTTGTCCAATTCTATGAACTTTCCAGACAGAAATTTAGTTTGTGGGGAGATAAATTGGGATAGAATTTGTATTCTTGTCACCATATAGTAACATGCCTTTGTCTTGCATGTCAATTTTCTCATCTATTTGAGCACAGATAAAAATGTGAAAAAACATGCCTTATCTTCAGTGTATATCTTTGTGAGATTTACACTAGAATATGAAGTTTCTTTGTAATTCCTAGACATATTTTTATATATTATATAAATAACAGCATGAATGTTAGTTGCCAAATGGTATATAAATATTAGGGAAAACAGTAAATTTTAAGCAAATATAATAATGTTTAGCAATATAAAATGTTTTCAATCTAACAGTCTCAATTACCCTCTCAATTTCTTCTTTTATAAGAGGGAGATTTTAATTTCAATGCAAAGACCCTGTGTGTATAGTGTGTCACTCGTCTGCAAACATAATATAGAACCGGTGAGGGTGAAGTGCCCGGAGTCCACCCATGCAGTGATAACCTGACCTGGTGATAAGCTGTTGCATTAGTAGATGTGGCCAAAAAGTTAACACTGAATATTTTTCACCAAATTTTGTTTTTATTGTTTTAAATTAAAATATTTACACGGGACAGGGATAGGGCTCATTGGTACAGTGCCTGCCAGGCAAGTGCAAGGTCCTCAGTTGGATTCTCAGCACCAATGAATAAATGAATGAATAAAGAAATAAGTAAAAATTTACAATTAATTCTTAACCAGCCATCTAAAACACAACCCTTTTGAAAAACCATATCTTCAGCCCTGACCTCATACTTTGGTTCTCAGTGAAATCCTATTTAAGTTTCCTCCACTATTCCCCATAGCACTGAAGAAGCGAAGATTTTTCACCCACGCAATAATTATCTACCTTTTAGAAGAAACTGAATTTTAAAATAGAAATTCAATCAGAATTAGATTAATGTCACTTTTTGAGAAGTAGGTTCTGATCTTCCCCAAATTAGCCTACTAAAATAATTATGTTCCATCCTATATGAAAGAATAGTTTATTTGGATAAAATAATAAGGTTGAATATAATATTTGATTTTTTAAAAAATGAATTGACATGCATTTCTCTTTTCCAAAACAATCATATATAAACACAATTAATAACTAAAAGCACTGCGTAACTCCTCTCATGTAGAGCAGCAGTTTTAAATGAAATAAAACTCTAAGTAAGGCTAAGAATTTTCATAGGCTCAGCTAGTGCATTGATTTGTATTCACTTGTTGAATTTTCTAAAAATATTACTTGCATTCCAAATTCCTTGGTCAGAAAGGTAGGGCGGATGATTCATTCTTATATCTGATAATTTTCCCATCAAATTGAACTTCCTCACACCAACAAAACCATCATGATTAACTGTTAACATCTTAAATTTTTACCAATAAAAAGCTAATTATTTTTAAGTTGTGGGTGCAACCTCTGACCAGACATAATTAAGCTATTAACTTTGGATGTGATGTTTAAAATGCAACACTTCACTTGAAAAATAGTGTATGCTTTTTTAGAAACGTAACACATCTCATTCTGTAAAATTAGCGACACACTGAGACTTAACTTTAATAATAAATGAGAAAGCTCATTAAAATAATGCAATGGTGGGTGAATGCTGTTATGCTCATATTCACACAGTACAAAGAAGAGTAAATAAAATATATTTAGTGTTATATAGATGAAAGAATTTATACATAGTTACATACCCAGTGTATAACAAGCTAACCAAGTCTTAAATTCTGAGCTTTTTCTGCCCCCTTGCAGATAAGGTCACAAGCCCCACAATATGTCCTGTAAAAGGTTTAAGAAAAAAACCCTAAAGTTGTAATAAATTGAACATTAATTCTCATTAATTCCCCTCATCCCAATTGCATATATGACTGAAAATATCAGACAGAGCCAAAAAAGGGTGGGTTTCCATCATTGCCCCCGGGTAATGGTGATGCATTCTTAGCTACTGCTCATGTAAGAAGTACAAATAGGATAAAGGAAATGGGAGACTGCAAATCCCGACACCGCCATACTGAATGCACCGTGAGTGTGCTACCCTCCACCGTCCCCAAGCATCCTTCACACAGTGACGCTCTCTGCAGAATTCAAATAAGATGCTTAAAGCTTTACTCACTCCCATGAAAGTCCACCTCCGTTTTTCACGTGGATCCTCCCAGCAAACCAGGAGGCATTATTTTCATTTGATTGCATTTTCTAGAATATGTTATTTCACTCCAAAAGCACTCAAAATTCCTTGAATTTCATGCTTTCAATCTAAAAGTCTCTCACTATATAGCATTTTCAGTAGTTGCTGTTTGAAAATGAGCTACTAATGAATATGATTATTTAAAGTAGGAATGAAAATGTATTTTAAACAAATATCACGCATTAAGAGATATTACTAAAAGAAATAATTTACTCACATTTTGTATCTATTTAAAATAAGTTCTTTTACTTTATAATTTTATCTGTTCTCTATTCATTGAAATTACCACCGATCTAATTTAAACTATTTCCTGTTTATATTCCTACTTGAATTAGTTCTTTACAATTTACTTTTTTCCTGTTTTATTTTTTCAATTTCTATTTTGTCATTGTCCGGGTTTGCAGTAGGTAATGATCACTTTCCTTGTGTGGAGTCAGTGCACGCACACATCGCATCTTCAGCAGCACAGTCATTGCTACTGATGTTCCACTTTGTTTTTCCCAGTTTATGCATAAATGAACACAAAATTTTTAATACTGTGACTCTATCACATTGCCACATCAAAAATTGATGGGAGGCCACCTCGTAGGAACAAAGGTTGAGGTAGGAGTATTTTGTTTTCAAATCTAGTTAAATATTAGTCCCTCTACAATCAAATTATTCTTGAGCGCTTTCATACTCAAATGCCAAATAAGTATTAGATAAAGATTACATCCTAAAAGTTTATCCTCTGAAAGCATTATGGACTAAAATTTAATCAGTGGCATATCCCTGAGTAATCAACTCACCAGTAAGAACTTTTTTAGAACCAGGTTACTGGAACAATTCTGTAGCAGTTGTAAAATACCCTGCAAGAGAAGGACCTGGGTAGAATGCTTCATAAGCCCCATTTATCACAAAACTTGTTAAAGGCTGAGATAGGCTGCACATTCAATTTGAGTTTCTTTCCCCATTTCTGTACTGTGAGGAGAAATCTAGAGTTCTGATCTTTATATTAAGAAATGATCTCCACCTGTCCTACACAGCAGCTCTGTTTTGTTCCCTGGGGAAGAAGTGTGTTTGAGAATGTATACTTTTATGCATTTCTGTTGAATATAAATTTTCTTTACATTGAAGACATGCAGAACTTTCTGTTTCATTTTGAGTTTTCAAAATGCTCTCTAAAGTATTTGTTAACAGTAAATTCAAAAATTCAGTACTTTTTCTAGTTTTAATAATCAAACATTATAATATTATTCAAAACCATTAATAGAATTATATTTGAATATAATGTTAGAATAAATTTTAAATTTAAAAGTATATGTTTTGATTTTTTTGTGGGGTGATATTAATTTGTAAGAGGAGAGAGAAAGCATCATAACAACATTTGGAAATCTGATTCGTAAGTAAGCAGACTGACCTACACATAAGTAAATTGAATCACTGCCAAAAATTTTCTCATCCAAAAAAATCTGATATTTTATAGTTTCACAATTAAATTCTACCAAACAGTTATGAAAGAAGATACAAATCCTTTGCAAAGACCTGAAAACTTTGAAAACAGAAAACAGAAAGTCATCTTATGAATCCAGTATTAATCTGATAATAACAAGTACACTGAAAAATGGAATTTTGGACCAATATTGTTGCTGAGCATAGGTATTCAAAGCCTCAACAGAATCAATAAGAGATAATGTAGTACAGTAAAGTGGACTTTATACCATGGGTGCAAGCATAGTTCAAAGTATCCAAGTCTATGAATGTGATGTACTACATTCAAGGAATGAAAGAAAAACATATTGTCATTGCTACAGACACAGAAAATACGTTTGACAAAATTCAACATCTCTGCCTAATAAAGACTATAAAAAATTAGAAATAGAAAGCGTGTGTTTAACACAGCAAAGACCATCCACAGCAATCTGTCTGCTAATATTACATCCAAAGGCAGAAAGTTGAAAGTTTACAACCTTCTTCCTAAGACTGAGAATGAGATAAGGTTGCTTGCTCAGGTCACTTCTACAAGGTCCTAGAACCTGGACTTACAGGCATGGAATGAAGCTCATTCAACTGAGTCTCGACTGCCTTGAGGATACACTGGGGGGAGCATGACACCCAATCTGTGGGGTCAGACTTCCTGGACCTGTGGCCCTGCTGCCTTGGGGCCATGAGAGTAGCCTGAAGCCTGTGGTCCTGCTGGTGTTACAGCTGGCAGTGAGCACAGGTCCACGAGGCAGGTCTGTAGCACACAATCTCAGGTGGTTTTGTTATCAGAAAATGAGGTCTGTGAGAACCTTCCTGGGTTTTGAGTCCATGAGCATGGGCTAAGTCTCATGTCTGTTGATGCTGGCAAGTTATTTGGCGTGAATGGTCCTCATCTGATGCTGGGATGAGACTAAAGCCTTGGATCCCAAGGGCTTCTTGGCCCTGGATGGATCTGCATCCTTCATACACAGGGTACAGCCTGATGACGTGGCATGAAGGGTAATTCT